GGGAGTTCAGCGAGCCCTTCGATTTCATCTCGGCCGCATGCTCGCGGGCGCCTTTACCGACTGTCCGCGATTCATGCAGCGCTCATTTGAGTATGTACTTCCAGTCCTTTCATGATCCAACCCCTTTATCCACCCACCCCCACGCCCCAACACAAAACCAGCCGCAAAAGACAACCAACCCCCCATTAACCCCCACCCTCCCCGTCTTTCAGCAACCTCTCCCCCGGCGGCTGGCTCGAGCTGTGCGACATCACCTTCCCCACCCTCTGCGACGACGGCACCCTGTCCCCGGACGCCCCGCTCTCCCAGTGGAACGACCATGTCATCCGCGCCGGCCATATGCTCGGCCACTCCATCGAGTCCGCCAAGCACTACCGCCAGCAGATGCTCGATGCGGGGTTCGTGAATGTGCAGTCGAAGCTGTATAAGTGGCCGATCAATGCGTGGCCGAAGGATGTGAGGTATAAGGAGATTGGTATGTTTTTCTTCCTTTTTCTCCGTCGGAGTGGTTTGGTTGGGGGTGGGTGGCACGGATGCTAACCGAGGTTGCAGGCATGTGGTCGGAGCACAACTTCTGCGGTGGCATGTACGGACTCAGCGTGGCGTTGTTCACGCGCGCCCTGGGCTGGTCGGCCGAGGAATTGGAAGTGTTTCTGGTGGGCGTGAGGAAGGACTTGAGGAATAGGCAGATCCATGCCTATTGGCCCATGTGAGTTCAACCGGCAAGAGTGTGGGTTGTGGTGTGCTGAGGTGGGAGTGCTGACCGAGTTGCTGCAGACATGTCGTGTATGGGCAGAAGCCCCAGTGATGTTGGGCGAGCGCGTGTCATTTGGGTTAGGGGCCACGGAGCGTTTTGAACTCTCCCGCCCGATAGGAAAGGACTTTTTGAATGTAAGGGTAAGGAAGCGTTTGGTTAATTCTGTGACATGTTGAAGCCATAGTTAATTCGAAGAGCTTTTTCAAATTTACCAGTTGATCGGCACCTCATTTCGGGGCCCCCATCCAGTTAAACAACTTGAGTGCCGGGCAGTAAGGCAAGCTACCTAGGCAAGGCAAAATACTTTGCGGCAAGGCTCACGCCCGGTATTTTGGTTAAGACTTACGGCTATCTCAGGTACTGACTTGCGAATGGGAACGTCTGGAAATGCAGCAAACAAGGCTGCATAATGTGGGTGGCCTATTTGTATACGGCACACGGGTGCGTTTATTGCACTCCCCCGAGTTAAGTCCCAAACATTCCGCTCTCAAACCTACCCCGATCTTGCCCTCATCTGCCCCTTTCAGTCTCAGCGTCCTCTTCGATAGCCCAAACTCCGAGCTGGGCTCTGATGACATTGAGTTCCAAACTCAGCCCCGCTCTTGTCTTTACCTACTCCCTCCGGCCCCAGTTCCGGTCTTTTGTTCAGTCACTCGGACTCTGAGTTGAGCCTCCATGATATTCGGCTCTTACTTACACCCGCTGTCGTCCGATGGTAAGTTCGAATTCGAAGTCCTCGTTGTAGCCCGCTCCCAAGCGCCTCCGTATATAGCCATCTTTCATACGTAAGGAGATCAACTTACGACGGAAATCCTACTCTTAAACGGTGCTCACTTCCCCGTCCGTTGGGGTCTCTGGTCGTGTCTACACAACTTGCCCTTTCAAGCGGTTGATCCCAGCGTGCCGTGGGACTACTTATGGGTGGACGCCATTTGCATCAACCAAGCTGACAAGGTTGAACGGCGCTCCCGGGTGCTTGCTATGAATCAAATCTATAGAGGCGCTAGCTGGGTCCTTCTGTGGCTATGTTCTCCGACTATACCTGACACACCCACCGAGACTAGTCGTCATAGTATGATCTCAGATCATATCTTCTGGGGTGATTGTTCCCCTAGGTCCCCAGACGACAAGCCCAACGAGCGTAAGCTTACAGACGTGAGTTTGCGGCAAGTTTTCTTGTTCCACCAGCACAAGCCGGAGAAGGACGAGAAGGTAATATGCTCCTGTCTATTTGCTTGTTAGTTTCTGATTAATATGGCAATAGAACATTAAGAGTATTTACGGCGACGATGTGGACCCTTTCGGCTTGGAGTGGCAGGAGGCCCGTACGCGGTTCATGAACGACCAGAAGAACTGCAAGTTCCGCGTGCTCCAGCATATGGAGGTATGTATCTGTTGGCAATCGTATGGTGGCTAGTACTAATATATGACAGAAACTCCTTAATACGCATGCGGAGCACCCTGAGTATGCAAATATACTCAATGGGGAGCTGCCAGTTTCTCGGGACTACCTTAAGCGGATGGCTGATGCGGCCTGGGCGGAGGAGAGCTTTTATAAAGTGTGGACGTATATGGAGGGCCGGCTAGACTTCAAGCGGTCTTCTAAACTGGGACAGTACTATATACGCAGTAAGTATCATTCGTATGCGGGTTGGGTTATGCTAATGCGAGAGGGAAGCGATGTTCAAAGGCCTGACCCTTGAGGTTGCAGAGTGGTATGTACTGTAATTATACACAGGATTGGTGAACTGGCTTCGTGGGGGGTTGTGTGGGCGTTTAACCTGTGTTTTGCCTTTTCCTTCATTATTAGCATGATACCCATTTGCTTCAAGTTCAAATTGCTGTCAATCCAAAGCTTCAATGATCAAGATTGACAATTGTGTTGAAATGAAGTAGTCAAACGCCGTGTAAACAGTGGAAGCAGTTGCGATCGTGGCAATAGTAAGTTCAATTGAAGCTTAGCGGTGCAAGGCGGGTATCCACGAGCCGGGACATATTCGCTCACAGCAGCGAGTGCTCTCTCTTCGGCTTACGACCTTAAGCGGCTTATTTGTTGAAGCCGTTCCTTCCTCTAAGCCGTAGAGTGACTGCTCTCGAAGGCAAGAGCGGTTGGGTACTAGCTCGAGGGAAGGAGCGGGCTGTGGATCGAACCGGTTAGGTGCTCTAAGCCGGCAATGTACCGTCAACCTCCTGCTCACTCGCCTGGAGCTGCTCTTTTTGCTCAAGCCGGGATAAATTCGCTCAAAGCGTAAGCCGTCAAAGGTTTTTCAGTCTCGGCATGGGGCGGTAATGAGGTTGGTCGAAGGTTCAGGTTCTTGGTGTATACTGAAATAAGCCCCTTTTCGGCCTCACAACGTACCTTCCATGTTAATAGGCCCGGGCACAGGCACCTTCCAGTCAATAAGCCTTTACAACAACTGCAAGAATTTTCAACCACTCCACCTCCCGCCTCCCACCTCCCACTCTCTCTCGCAAGTCGCGTCGTTATCCCTCTCGTTGATGCCGTTTTCTAAGCTCAAAATGCCACGCGCTTTACAGCATCGTGCGAAGAAGGCGTTGATTCGCCGTCGACTGCAGAAGCGCGAAGCTGCAAAGCGCCAGCGCCCTGACTCGACCGACCGGGAACTTGGCTCTTCGCCCCAGCGTCCTCGTCACAAAGAGCCGACCGATAGCGACGGCGATGGCGATAACGCTATGTATGCGGACATCCCAGAGTTCGACGAAGCTGATATCGCTGGCGCCGGCGATGGCGGCGATTGGGAACCGATCACATCTGCTACTGTAGGTTGGACCAACTACGCATGTACCAGATCACTAATTGTTGGGTGGAGCCAGGGGGCGAGCATGGATGCAGGTTGCAGTGGCTGTATGTAGCGATAAGGAGATTGGGAGAATACTGATTGCGATAAGTGAGCTGATATTGAACCCAGCATGAGACGGCTAAGTACTATCCGTCCTAATCGGCTAGAGTGTCTATCCTAAGTTGTCGTGTCCATCCTATAGCATAGCGTCCATCCTACATTATAGTGTCCGTCCCAAGTTGTTGTATCCATAGATGGTAAGACGTAATTCATCCTAGGTCCTCCTATCTATCATCCGTATTGTATTTGTTTCTGATACGAAAGTATCTGAAATAGGGGAACCGCAATTAAGAACAACGAAAAGAGGTGGAAAAGGCGAATGATTCTTGAAAGGAAGTGTCGCGATGGCTGCCGTGGAAGTAATTCCACTGCAGGCTGCACGCGATGCTTCCTTATCTAATCTAAATGCGGGGCACCCACGTGCCCACCCAGGGGGTCCAAACCCTAACCCTGGGCCCTCCATAGACCATGGTGGCGGTATCAATACCGCTCGGATGCCCAGAAGTGTTGCGGTCCCGGGCCGGGGTTCCGGGCCCACCTTTTCCAGACTGCGCGCGCGCCGCTGACCCTGCGTGGGTAAAACCCCACGCAGTGCCATCAGTTCTCTCACTTAGTTAGTTAGACCAGTCTCCCACGAGAATACACAGATCCTTAGTGCCTGTGTCATTCACAAGAAGGAACTAGGATTTTGGAGCTACGGCGGAAATGTAGAAACGATGCATATCCAGCAGAAACCAAGTTCAAGGTTCAGCTTGACCATTGGCTGTCGAACCGGCTCAGGTTGACCATTGGTTGTCGAACCGGTTCAATCTTTTGCCGAAGTACCAACCATCGTTATGGACCCCGAGTCTACTACTTTGGGAGGTATACCCTGATCCAGAAGTCACTGCCGGGAGAGTTCCGTCATCGCCTGGGACCCCGCGTCGGTATTTTGATCGATCATTTATTATGGGGTCCATTAAAGAGCCCGCAAATTTTATTAGAGGGACCGCTGCAAGTGGGTCCACAGTGCTCGTTCGACTTTCCTAAGTACAGCTACCAAATGGACGTCCGATCTCGACGCTATGTTAATCAATTCAAATACAATGTACAACACCAACGGCCAAATCTCGTGATAATCAGAACGCCGTCGATTCCTGGGCATCCTGTGTAGCCTGCCGAGCCGTCGCCTCGGCCTCGGCCACCTTTTCATCGAATTTACCCTCGAAATTAGTAGGAATCAGATCAAACTCGGCCTCCTGATCATCAACAGACTCGAGCCGAGCCATCCACTGCCCGGACCGCCTTGGCATCGCGGTGCCGGCCTCGTAGGGATCATCCGCCGGTACAGCCGGCTTGTTCAGGCGCGCTGGTGCCGTGGAAGGCGGCGGCAGTGCCTCTCGTCGCTCCTCGGCCTCCGTGATCTCGTGGGCGCTAGGCAGTCGCTTGGTGGACTTGTCTGTGGCCACCAACCCGCGCGGGCGACCTTTACCTCGCACGACAGCGGGATCAAGCGGTCTCTGGGCGCGTGAAGGTGATGCCGAGAGTGAAGGTATCGCGGTGCGGTCCCAGCGCCAATACGGATCAAATTGGGCGATGCTGAGCGGCTCGGAGTTTCGGAGGCAGAGGAAAAGGGCGTGGCGGCAGGGCAGGCCGTGAGAGGTCGTGATACTGCAAGTGCAAGGCTCCGGCGGTCCTAGATCCCAACGGCCTGCACGAGGCTGCTTCTCGATAGCGGCGACCTCTTTTTCGCATGCGCGTAGGGCATGAGGCACTACTGCACTTTTGACGTCGCCGTAGAGTAGGTCGCTGAGCCCGAACGGCACCTTGTTCATCGCCTGGTTGCGTGCGAGGGCAATATCCGCTGCCTGATTGCGCCAATATGCCTTCAGCTTCCGGAAGACTGTGGCTAGATCGCCGCCGGCGCTGCTGATAAACCTCTTCATGCCCGCGTGCAGTGACTCAACGATCGAGGTAGTGCGGTTGCCGAAGTGCAATATTTTGTTGACCCACGCATCGACGAGGAGCTCTTTGTATGGGTCGAGCCACGTTTTCACGGCGTTAATTGACCGCTCCTATAGGGTATCTCCCACTTTTGAAGCTCTGTATACGTGACTCGAAGAGCTCCTCGGTATCCGACGTAAGTATGGCGTTCCAATCTTTAAGGTATGCCGTAAACCTCTCGTTCCGCTTGATCGAGCCGTCGGGAAGGCGGGTAGCTGGTGGGAAGAACCGCTTACCTTTAGCTAGCACGTTCATATTAACGTGCCACCTGCAGAGGAGTCGAGGGACCAACGTGAAGGCTTCATGGCGTTTAAGCGCGTTGATTAAGGCCAACTCTCGGTCGGTGACGATCAGCTTTGGGAGAGGGAGGTCCTCTTCGGTCAAGAACTCTCGCAGCGCCTGCAACGCCCACGTATACTGTTCCTCCTTCTCTGCATTGATGAATACAGCCGCGATCGAGAACGACTTGCGTAAGGCCTGGATACCACAAAAGTTAAGGAGAGGGAGGCCAAAGCGGTTAGTCTTGTAGGTACAGTCGGCGACGATAACGTCGGGGGCGGTACGGAAGAGAGGGATCCGCACTTCTAGGCGCAATAAATAGGCACTGCACTCGGCCACTCTCGTCGCGTAGATCTCGGTAGAAGTACTCGGTCTCGTCATCGAGTTGCTATTGGATACCCTTTTAATTAGCCGTGAAAACCATGAAATCGGATAGCCGCATGATGCTTACCTCGTAGAGCCACTGGATCGGCGTACGACCATTGAGCTCTTCCCGGCGGCATGCATGCAACAGGTTGGCGAGGTCCTGGTAGCTGAACTCCACGGCGTCTCCGGCCTCGCGCAAATTGGCCATGATCTGCGATGGCCGCGTACCTGCTCGCCAGTCTGTAACTATCTTGGCCTTGTAGGAGGCAAGGCTACGCTGCCTGAAGGAGGAGAAGGTCGATGGATCGAGGAGGTCGTGGTTGTGCTCAAGATCGGTGCCGTTACGCGTGCGCACTGGATCCAGCTTCTAGCCGGCCCCGGGCACACGCTTGAGGTTGATCTTGTAACCGCAAGCCGTCATCTGGGAGCTCGTTTTGCGTCCCTTGGTGGTGTGAATAACTTCGTCGTTCTTTGGTGCGTGCGACCGGCCTTTGGCGCACCGGTAGTTGACCCGGGTCACCTCCTCGGCCGCAGCGCCGCGAGGGAATCGCTCTTTGACGGCTAGATCAAAGCCCAAGGCGTGGGCCTGCGCCTTCAGGCCGGCTTCTGCCTCCTTGAGAGAGCCGTAGGAGGCCGAGAAATCCATGGCGGTGGTGGTGCAGGCAGCCGGCCGTTGCTGTTGTTGATTGAAAGATAAAAAGCTCGATTTGCCGTGAAAAAAGGTACGATTTGACATGGTACCGAATGCGTGGATGCAGTCGGAAATCGATACTGTGGTCGGTGCTTAGACCCACTTGCAGCGGTCCCTCTAATAAAATTTGCGGGCTCTTTAATGGACCCCTTTATTATGAGGATAAGACGGACAGGGAGAATGAGGTGAACAGCGATAATCAGATGGACGGGGAGGGTGGGATGAATGGGGGTAATCAGAGAGATAGGGAGACTGTCTCCCATACATCCACGGCCCGCTCCATCACTGTGCGCGCTTCGCCGTACGTTTGTCCAACTCTTCGGCTATACTACGCTCGAGTTATTTTGGCCGCACGGGAACTGTCTCGGGTATAAATCAGTCGTCACGGTGGATGATGAAATCAAGAAATGGCCGGCGGAGCTGGGTGTGCAACCTGTAATGTTCAAACCTTCAGGAGGTACTGAACCCGGGAATCTTGTGCCCTCGAATATGAAGAACGGGGTTATCGCTAGACATCCGACGTATATTCCGCTATACCTCTAACCCAGGAAAATGGCACATAGAAAGGAGAGTCACCGTGCTGTCCTCCATCCATCTATTCCCAACCCCAAACTCCTCGCCCGAGCATAGACGTCTATTTAATGTAACAAAATATCATAACCATCCCGGTTAATCCGCACCTGGTCCCCTCCGAACCCATACTTCCGCCTCACCAGCTCAAAAATGATCAAACCCGCGCTCGTGCTGGGCACCTGCCGGACCGTGTTCCACCAGAAACCCCGGTACAACCACTGACGCATCCCAAGACCGGCCGCCTCCGCCTCAGCCATGCATTCTGCCCACGTCTTCCGATAAGCAGCACGGTACGCCCGGAGCATCCGCCACCGAGAGGCCGCGTTGGGCGGCGCCCCCGGGAGCCCCGCCTCGCGCCGCAACTTGGCGGCCTTCGCGTCCAGCGCCTCCAGCCGCTCCCAGTGCTCGGCCTGGACATGCGACAGCGGATGCAGAATGGCCTGCTGGGCGACGGACGCGCCCATGCCGGCGAGCAGCAAAAACGCCGGCTCGATGGCGTAGTGCGGGCGGATGATGGTCGGCATGCTCGGTTCCTCCTCCGACCCGTTGTTGCTGTTGTTGTCGTTGTTGTTGTTTCTGGGCTGCAGCTGCGGGCCGTCCCCCGGCGCGGGCCGCTTCCGCGACAGCAGCACGATGGTGTCCTCGTTGAGCGAGCCGTAGAACCACCGCACAAAGTTGTAGTACCCCTGCGCCTTGACATACTCAAACACGCTAAAGAACACCGCGCTCCCCATACTATCCTTCAAAAACGACAGCCCCCACCCCGAAAACACCCCCCGCACCCCAATCTCCCTCAACTTGGCCGCACTAAACGCCCACATACTCCTCGGCCTCTGCACCACCCCCCCACCAGCCCCCCCCTGACCCACCCTCCCACTCGTCACCCCATCCCACCTCGCCTGCACCGCATCCAACGGGGCGGCGACCACACTCTGCACCCCGCCAGCCAAGAACCCCGCCGCGAAGACATCCCCCGGCCCCGGCGGCGGATAGACGCGCTTGCTGGCGCGGGCGCTCTCCGGGTGCAGGCGGCCCAAGATCTGCAGGTAGCTGGTGTAGAGCACGGCGCCGACGCCGACGTTGGCGACGAGCGGGGGCAGGATCTGGTCGGGCACGACGCGCCACCCGTAATGGCGGACCGCGGAGGCGAGGATCGCCGGGGTGGTGGAGCGCATGCGGGTGCGCAGCCAGTGCGTGGTGGTGGTGGTCCAGCGGGGGGAAGTTGTTTTCCATGTTGATGTTGATGTTGATGGGAGTGGGGAGGATGGAGATGAAGTGGCTTGCGGGTGCCCTGCGCCGTGTTCTTGCTCCTGCAGGGCGCGGGCGTAGGCTAGGTAGTCGACACGGGTGCGGAAAAAGGCTTTGACGGGGGCGCGGAAATAAAAGGCCACGGCCTGGGATGTGAGGGCGCGTACGCCGGCGGCAGAGGCGCCCGTTGCGGCATTGCTGGTGGGAGGTTTAAGGTTTTCTGGTGGCGGGGTGCCGTCGGGAATGACGGGGAGAATGCCAGGGTCAACTCCCGGGTAAAACTGTGTTGAAGAAGAGTTGGGCGAGTCGTCACCTTGGCTGCGGTTGCTGGGGGAGGGCATGGTAGCATGTCATTTTTTGGTCTGCCGTTCGCGTTGACTCTAAGACTTTGGATGTGGGGTATCGTCAATCTTGGGCTGGTTTTCGGTGGTGCGCAGGATGAGTTTAGTATCTTGGCAGTTGGTTGTCCATGAGCCCGATTTTGCTCCTAAAAAGTTGTGTGTTTGCTCGGAAGGGCTTAGAACTGGTAGGTACCTATGAAGACAACACACCGCACTCTTTGAACAACGGGCAACGAAGACAAGAGGAAGAAGCTGTGGCTAACTGTTGTAGGGAGGCTGAAAACGCGAATTTCGACCTTGGTAACTCGCCCTTGTTTAGGTCGAAATGCTGACTCAGCAAAACCTTAGCCATGTGAGTTATCTGAAACAAAACGGTGGAAAACGGGGACATGCTCAGTTTTTGGTACTCCGTTTCCTGCTCTCCCCTTGTGGCTTCCACCAAAACAAGATCATCATCCAGCTTCTTTTACCCCACACCGTGCTTTGCCTTGAGCTGAATCAACCCACTATGTATATCACATAGCACGACCAGTCGTTTCGCCCAAACGTCCTTCTCATAATGGCGCATGGGAAAAAGTCTCGCGGCCCACAGGTCTGGTCCCAGCCCCACTTCAGCTCTTTCTGGCCACATCACATTCGTGGTTCAGCTGCAAAACTCATACGGTTGCAGGAAGAGATCGGCCGGTGAACGGCACGCTGGGCGCATGTAGTTAGCGGCCGCAGATGCCGATCGGGTCACGGGTTGGCATCAATCTGACCTGAGCTCGGTTTGCTCGTGGACGTTCTGTGTCTGTTTAGAAGGGCCCAGAGCCAGCGGGGCCAACAAACTGCCCTCTTTGAGCAAAAACGAAGACAAAACGCTATTGCTATTGTAAGGAGGCCGAAAACACGAATGTCGACCTCACGTGGGGAAAGCATCCGTGGGTGCCCATCCTTTCCATCAAACCGAGAACGGATGCCGAAATCGCTTTATAGAATCCCAAATTCTCTCCAGTTACCTTACCTTACCGACCGCATCGGTGCCTGCGAACCACAGAAAAAGACCTGGAAACGGATACACACGCTGCTGCCGGGGTTCACCATCACCTGCGTGGTTGATGTTGCCCGTCCACGTCGCGTGCTTTGTTAAATTGGTTCAGGCAGAAACAGAAAGGCAGGATTCCGCTGCCGGTCGGAAACTGGGAAGTGAATAGGATGACCACACATCAACAGCACAAGCATACCGTGCACAACCAGGTGTATAGTGTGTATCGACGCATCATGACTCCGCTTGACTGGGTACATACATGTATGTACATGTACGTTAACAGGAGGATGACCGAGGCGGCAAAAATGCTCTAGCGTACGCAACCAAAGGTCGTCCCTGCTCTGGGCCAGAACTAAACGAGAAGTACTGGACTTCTACGGCTAAGAATGGAGGGGTGATACTAGCTTTTCACCTGCAAATGGCGGGACCACGTCCTCTCTGGCCAAGGTCGCCAGGAAGATGTGGGGGCACCGTTCGAGGTGAGATATAGTCTCCGTTGTAGAAAACGCCGAGCTGGGATGCGGCCCTGGCTTGGTGCCCGGGAGGCAGGACTTCTATGTTTTTTATTTTTCATTTTTTTTTCTTTTCTTTCTTTTTTCATTTTAGTTTCTCGTTGCTTTCTCCGCATAGGCGGCGTGCACTTAAAACAAGAGCTTAGCGCGGCAAGATCGTCCAGTTTCAAGGGTGTAGGAAGCTTTTTTTGTTAGGCCGGCGATGGTGGTAGCTATCTTGAATAGGTAGGTACTTTAAGAACGGACTGTCTGCACTCATCGCGAAGAAAGCCTTTGGTCCGGTCAACGACCACGACCCTCCTCCTGCCCGGAGCCATTGTACGTGGCCCGCGTGTTTAATAGAAGTGGTGACAATTGGGAAGGATTGATTGGAAGTTAAAGGGTCTCGGGCTGTCAGAACAGAGAGAAGTCGGAAGGCTGAATGAAGGCGGGTTTCGTCAAATCATATCTTGATCAAACGCTGGATAGGTAAGTTAGACGTATCCGCGTGCCCTGGCCGGCCCAAGGACGAACGTCGGCCGTTAATAGGAGACGCCAATGCTTCCCTCAGCTACCTACCATACCTTACCCAGGTATCTACAACATTCGGCAATCTCGATCCAATGGACTCCTCGTTTCTCCCAAGATGTTTGTGGAATGGTTTCATGCTCTCAGACTCGCTCTGGCCTCTGGGGCGAACCGAGTGAATACCACTCCTGAGTCCTACGTTGGGTTCTTCCATTAATGGTGCTAGTTAACCCAACCAGAAGATGCTGTCTCGCCTTGTGGCTGTAGCGTCGCCCGGACTGGCAGGTGGCGGCCCAATTGCGTCTCACAGACCCAAATCGTGGCCGGCACTTGATAGAAAAAAGGGGTTTAAGAGTGGGCTTGGCAGGCCACCCCCACGATGTCCCCCTCACCATTGGTCTAAGGGGAAAAGACAAATGCAACCCTCTAAGGTCAACCTCGAAGCTCACTGGTCTTACTGATCGGCACAGGCAACAGCCCCACGGGCCGTTTGCGGAGATTGTGCATGAACCACTACCCATGAACCACAACCACCTTCCCATTTCCTCCAAAGCTCCTCTTCGTATGGCGAATGGGATTCGTTGTTTGTAACATGCCGGCCGCGTTTCTCGACGTGGCTGAATGTTGCCATAGGCCCATAGCATACCGATGGTATTTTGGGATAGCTTAAGGTGACCATGTGAAAATCCACCGAAAGATCGGCTGAGGGGTTGGGGAGGGAGGGGGGAAAAAGAGAAAAAAAAAAGGAACTTTGCCCGAATGCAAGGCGTTGTGCAGGACCACAGATCTTGAGATGGTATAAAACACGCCTGTCTCCGGGGATAGTAGGACTCCCTGGCCTAGACTACCTACCTACATCCCCGTCTTCACACCCCGCCACCACCACCACCATCATCATCATCACCGCAATGACAAGGCTCTCCCCCGCCCTCATGCTGCTCGCAGCAGCGGCCCCTTCCACACTCGCCGCACCCTCCTTTCCCATCCTCGCCCGCGCGCCCTCGCCCCCCACCGCTCTCCCCCAGCGGGCCACTGCCAACGACCTCCGCTGGCAGCCCTCGCTCGACTTCGACACGGACGGGTGCTACAACGTGCCGGCCATCGACGCGCAGGGCACCATCGCGCAGGGGCTGCCGTACCAGTTCACGGGCCTGTCGAGCGACTGCCGGGACGCGTCGGACCTGGACAACAACAACGTGTACGCGCGGCAGCGGTGCAACAACGGCTGGTGCGTCTACCTGTACGGCTACTACTTCGAGAAGGACGTCGCCGTGCCCAACTTTATCAGCACGGGCCACACCCACGACTGGGAGCACATCGCCGTGTGGGTCAGCGACGCCACGGGCCGCGCCGAGTATGTCGGCGCCTCCCAGCACGGCGGCTTCGAGATCAAGGCCGCCGCGGATGTGCGCTGGGACGGCGAGCACCCCAAGATGGTCTACCACAAGGACGGCGGCAGCACGCACGCCTTCCGGTTTGGCAACACGGATGATGACAGGATTGAGAACCACAAGGGTGTGTGGTTCCGCGGCGCGCTGGTCTCGTACAATGGGTTCCCGTCGGTGGAGGTGAGGGATAAGCTGTTTGCGCACGACTTTGGCGCGGCGACCATCGGCTTCAAGGATTCGACGTTTGCTGGACACATTGAAAAGGCGAAGCCGGGTGCGGTTACGTTTGACGTGAACCAGGACGTCGGGTCGCCGGGGAACCCCTAAGTGTTGGATGGGGGTGGGTGGTCTTGTAGATAGTCCTAAACTGTCAATACTTTGAATGATCCCGTTCGTGGAGTCAAACCCTTGAATTATTGACGGACAGAAGATACGATTTCGCGCTGCCACCCTGGAGGGTCGAATTCATAGGCACCGCAGCCAGGGTAGATTGAAGGTCAGCTACCCCTGGCTGTTACCAATCCTGAAGTAGTTAAGGGAAGACCGCACATTTGTCGGCATATCAGGCACCTGATATCTGACCTAGGGGACTAATTTAGCCAATAGATCCAACAACTGGTAATGGTGGAAACACCATGTCCCATCAATGGAACCATAACTAGCAGAAAGCGGTAGTGGTAAAGGTAGCACTACCAGTATCAGGTGCAGCTATGCAGACGCGCATGCGCCCCCGGCACTTCTTGATGACTTTCCATCCTCCCTGACGTTCTTCGATGTGATTAGACCGGCTAGCCTTTCTTCCTTCCACGTCCCATCAGTCTGGGTAGTCACAGATTAGGCCACCCTATTACACCCTTGAGTCCGTTGCGATTATAACCCGAACATGGTCATCCCCTCAGCTCGACGAGGTCATCTGCCACTTTTTCTTACCGAAGGTAGACCGCAGGTGTCCGTTGACCGGCAATCGCTCACGGGAAACTTTCAGGTAGCATTATGTTAGTCAAGCGTTAGGAGTAAGCAGACACGGTGAGACGTGCCTCGATCTCCGGTATCTTCCCCACAGAAGCATGCCTAGAGCTCAATCCGTGTGTGCCATGGCGGACAAGCGCTTTCGTTGCCGCCAGATGCTCGCCAAGCGCGAAGCCTCAGTCTCTGGTTTCTTCGCCTCTTGCTGTTTGAGCTCCATCGAGGCCATCGCTATCCAGGCCCACCCCACGTCTCGACCAGTGGGTGGTGATCAACAACGGGGTATTGCCCGGAATGGGAACCATGGAGGCTCTCGCGCCGAGCCCAGCGACCCAGTGTCCGGGTTGCGACGCAGGCTTCCCGATTAAACCCTTTCATTCGCCGCTGGAACGGGGGATGCCAAGCTGTTTCGGCTTTCTGTGCGTATCCCCTAGTGTCCAGTTTCGCCAAAAGAGGCAAGAGTTCGGGGCCAAAAGCCGCATGTAACGCTGGATGCCCCGGGTTTGGCGTCGATTGTGGAGAATCCACACCATCAACAGCCGCCGGTCTGGGGACATTCGCATCCACCACCGCACCGGGATCACGAAACCAGGTTGGACTTGTTCGGCCCATTGGCCGTCACCTATTTCCGGCCGCCGAGAAGCCCTCCATCTCGGTAACAGGCTTGGGATCGAGAAATTCCTTCCACTCATGACGTTTCCAAGACATGGCGTGTTAGGGGTGCACAACCTACAGTCACATTCTTTGCTGGAACATTCAGGGGTACCGCAGATGGAAGGGGGTGGGAGTCGTGCCATCCCTGGGGCGCCCAGCGGGAGATCAACAGGTATAAAGTCTCGTCTAAGCGTCATGTAGATCCCATGCGGGCTCGCTGTTGATCATCACCGCATCGAACAAACCGTCGTCGAAGTATTCAAGCCTCCAAGATGAAGTTCGCCTCTTCCGTTGCCCTGTTGGCTGCTGCTGGCGCCCAGGCCCACTGTAAGTTCTCTGCTCTGCCTCTACCCCACGTGCCATCCATCGACTAACAGCCACAAGACACCTTCCCCAAGACTGTCGTCGACGGCGTGACCTCGGCCGAGTGGGAGACCATCCGCATCACCGAGAACCACTACTCGCACGGCCCCGTCGAGGATGTCAGCAGCTCCAAGATGACCTGCTACCAGCGCGATGTCGGCACCGGCGCGGCCAAGACCGTCTCGGTCAAGGCCGGCGGCACCGTCGGCTTCACCGTCGACACCTCCATCGGCCACCCGGGCCCCCTCCACTTCTACCTGGCCAAGGTGCCCTCAGGCCAGACCGCCGCCACCTTTGACGGCAAGGGCGCCGTCTGGTTCAAGATCTACGAGGACGGCCCGTCCGGCCTCGGCACCGGCAACCTCAAGTGGCCCAGCGATGGTTCGTTCTATCCACACCCCCCAAAGTCAACGTCTCCAGAACCTCACTAACAGCCCCCGTCTACAGGCAAGACCCAGGTGTCCGTCAAGATCCCCAGCTGCGTCCAGAACGGCGAGTACCTGCTCCGCGTCGAGCACATCGCGCTGCACAGCGCTGGCAACGTCGGCGGTGCCCGGTAAGGTTACTCCCCTCCCCCTTCCACAACAACACAGCCCACCACAGCACCCCACCCCCAAAACACCTCACTAACATACTTCCCCTCACAGAGCTCTACATCTCCTGCGCGCAGCTCTCCGTCACCGGCGGCTCCGGCACCATCAACACGGGCTCGCTGGTGTCGTTCCCCGGCGCCTACAAGGCCACCGACCCCGGCATCCTCTTCCAGCTGTACTGGCCCATTCCCACCAGCTACGTCAACCCGGGCCCGCCGGTCGTTTCGTGCTAGAGGGATGTGGTGGGGGCATAGGGGGCGTGGGATGGGATAGGGGGGTAGGATTGGGGGGGGGGGGGG